ATCAAATAAGGGATCACTGCATACAGAATTACTAGAGGCAAATATTCTTTCAAAGTAATCCAAAACAATCAAATTCATGTTCTCCCCTTCCACCCATTCCCCAACATCATTCCTCAATTTGGCAACATAATTCTTTTTCTTACGGGCAGAGGCATACCTGTGATAAAATTTCGTATTGCCATCAGCTCCACGCAGCCAGTGTTGCTTCGCCCGCTGCCTCCAAAAAACATCATCCTCGGCCTCCATCTGGGACAACTGGCTCTCAAGATTATGAAACTCAGCTATCGCACCTGGATCACACCTGTGTCTAATAGCTTCCTGCCTCATTCGCAGTCTCTTAATATTCTCTCCAAACTTGTGGAAATGGTCACCACCCCACCGCATCAGACTGTGTCCACAAATTTGCTGACAATTCAGCAAACCCCCAGTCCGACCATTCTGCCAAGCTGTCTCAACCACCTCCCTACACCCCTCATCCAGCAACCAGGCCATTTCAAATCGAAAACCCCTCGGCCCCCTTCCCTTTTGCACACATGGTGCATTGATGTTGAGGAATAAAGCCGAGTTATCCGATTTACGAGTCAGAATATTCTGAACCTCCGCATGTTGATTAACATCCCCCCAAGATGCTGTTACAAACACCTTATCCAACCGCTCCGCAATCCAATTACTAGTGCCCTTACTTTTCTCCCAAGTAAACTGATAACCCTGCATAGCCATCTGCGCCAATCCACACCCATCCACTGCCTCCCCATAACCGCGTAAGAGACTATCCGGGTGCAGGTTCCCCCCCCCCCCCCCCCCCCCCCCGCCTTTTTCTCGTGTTGATATAGAAGATCATTGAAATCCCCTATTACAACCCAAGGAAGAGAGGATTTCCCGCTTAACATTCCCAGAAGTTCCCATGATTCCCGTCTTCTATGTCGCTCCGGGAAACCATAAAAACCTGTCATACTCCATACCCTATCACCCATCCGTACCTCCACATCTACATGATTGTTAGAGTAGCTCAGAAGCGTAACAGTATTGTTTTTCCTCCAAAGCAACGCTAAACCACCACCATGACCCTCATTGTCGACAAAAATAAACCCTAGAAACCAAGCTTGATACGAAGGCGTTCTGCATGATCCTGTCCAACCATAGTTTCCATTAGAAAGACAAAATCCGGCTTCTTACGGGACACCATGTCCACAATCTCTCGAACTGTCCGTGGATTGCCCAAGCCACGGCAATTCCAGCTCAGGGTACTCATTGGGTCGGGCGGGCCTGGGAACCAATGCCCGCCTGCTGCAAGTTTTTTGAAAAATCTGTCATCACAATATCATCCCCATCTGATCCATGCCCCACACCACCGTTCCCCAATCCTTCCCTCCGACGCTTGGACACGGCTACCACAGCAATCTCATCATCAACACCCTCCAAAGCCGTCGGCCCCCCTTCCACCGTTTGCTGCCCCACGGCAACACCCTTCACCCGTGCAGTACCCCATACTGTCGTAGCCGGCGGTAGCAACCAGCTCCCACCAACCGGCCGCGGCCCTCGAGTCCCACCCGCCCGTAACTCCGGGCCATACGGATACTCCTCGACCGGTACCACCGAGTCTCTCGCACCACGACAAAACTTGTAGGCATGTCCAAACATCCCATAGAAAAAACAGTATGTATGCAACCCATCATACTTGAAAGAAACCCAACAGGTCGTTTTATCCCGCTTCACAAATTTCATTCTGCGTTTCAGAGGTTTATCCACAGACAATGTAACCCTAATCCGATAAAACGTTTTCCATGGCGCATTCTGAAACCGGTCATCCCTCTTCAAAAACACCCCCAGGTAATTTCCAATCTGTTCCTGAATCAACTCAGACGTATATCCGGTAGGCAAGCCATAAATTTGTACCCACATATCCACTGTATCAAGCCTAACATTCACAGGGAGAACCCCATCGGGCACTTGTTTGCATACAAAGGTACTATTATCAAACGATCATGGCCCCTCATCAATGACTCGTTGCACATCCATTATATGATGAAAAACAAAGAGAAACAACCCCGGTTGTATCTCAGAAGCTTGAACTCCACTTACTGGTTGCCAAATGGATGCCATAACTTGACTCATAAACTCAAGCTTAACAAGCTTCCTCGTCAGGAACCTACGAACCACCCCCCACGACTCCTCCTCCTCCGCGTCATCCTGCCCCCCGCCATTCACCTCCTCCTGGGGCACGAACGCCACCTCCTCCTCCTCCAACACAAGGTCGGCCCATCTGGCTGTGATACCTGCCACCGCCGCTGCATTAGTCGAAGAAGAAGCCATGCGCTCACACATACAACAGCCTCTCACCGTAGTCGTGCCTCTGTTTGTTCACTTTAGCTGCTCGCAAACGCCAGGAAACTGCCGGAGAAGACGTCGATTGATCCGACCGAAACCCTAGATAAACCCTAGGTTGAGAGAAAAAAAGCCAACTGTGTAGTATTGTTTATTTTATATCTATTTTCTCCTTTTTATATATGTGGAGTCCAATTATAATTGAAATATGGTTCAAATAATGACAAGTAACCGTGTTGGTATTATGGTGTTAATACCTAGATTGAGTATGACTCCTTCGGATCCTAGATTGTCATTGAAGTTCAATAGAAGACAATTCACGGTAATATACTAGGTTGATAGTAACTAGAATATTTATTTGAAAAAATGTTAGCTTTTATATTTGTATTATTAATTAAGAATTTTAATTAGTATATTATATTTATTTTAGAACTTTGTTCTTAATATTTGGATTGAAATTATTAATTTTTCCTTCTATATTAGTAATATTGTATCTTATGATGTTTTAGTACTTTTATTTAAGTGTAATAATTAATAAGAGCCTCTAGTGAGGATTGAACTCACGACCTTTCGCTTACGAAGCAAACGCACTGCCACTATGCTATGGAGGCTTGGTTATTAAAAATAATTTATTTGGCTTTTATACCAACTATCCACTCAATCGAACAATACTCTGGTTTTATATGTGGCTTTTACTGATTTTGGATTGGGCTTCTTGGTTGGGTTAAAACAAAATGTATATCAAAATATATGAATAGTTTCGGCCAGATTTAGTAGATAGGATTTATTTTAAATAAAAAAATATATATTTTATATGATTTAATTTTTATGCGATGCACAGACTAAAGACTATAGGTATTGTTGTTATTTTAGTATATTAAGAAGTATTAGTCATATTAAATTTTAAGTATTAATATATTATGAAAACAATATTCATTTAAAAAAGTTTATTTATGTAAGAACTATGTTGATTTTATATCTAATTTCTCCTTTTTATATATGTGGAGTCCAATTATAATTGAAGTATGGTTCAAATAATGACAAGTAACCATGTTGGTATTACGGTGTTAATACCTAGATTGAGTATGACTCCTTCGGATCCTAGATTGTCATTGAAGTTCAATAGAAGACAATTCACAGTAATATACTAGGTTAATAGTAACTAGAATATTTATTTGAAAAAAGGTTGGCTTTTATATTTGTATTATTAATTAAGAATTTTAATTAGTTTATTATATTTATTTTAGAACTTTGATCTTAATATTTGGATTTAAATTATTAATTATCAAGAAAGGGATGAGACCTACCATTCAGATTTCTCCCAATATGAGTATGATCAAGCAAGTTTCTAGGAAACTATTCGAACCAAGAACTCCTCACCTGAGATCAAGTTTCCCATAAAAAAAGAAACCTTTCAAGCGTGCCTATGAGTTCACTGTGGATATTCTGAACAAGATGGTGGAACACAAGACATCTAGGACTGATGATGTCTCCACAAAGAAATTATAAATGCTTCATGCATTCCTTCATGGGTACAAAGTTGATTGGTTGAAAGTTGTCTTTGACTTTAATTTCTGAAGTCAAATGTGATCTCTGGCAAGAAGGAATTAGGGGATTTTAAGAAGAATGTTGGTTTCAGCCTCATGATCGGTAGATTACTGGAGTTGAAAGGAGTTGCTCTTAGACATGGCACACATATCGGTGTTAAGATCTACCATATGAAATCTCAACCTCTTGGGTACAGCAAGCGGAAGGCACTTAAAATGGGAGTCACTCCACCAGTACAACCCAAGACGAGATCAAAGCGAAAGAAGACTTTTAATGTTGCTGAACCAGAGCCAGTAGTCAAAAGGAAGAAAATGAGACTGATCAAAACAGGTCCAATTGAGCCAGTTGTACAAGATGCTCCAGCCCCCTCTTCCACGCCTGACATCAAAATCTTGTCAAAGAAGAGCAAATTCTGCAAAAAGCGATTCAAAATTAAGCATGTTGATAAGACCGAATCTGGGAAGAAAAGAAAATCATCAAGTACTCCACCTGGTTTATCCCGAGAGAAGATTACACCTGTGACATCGAGAGTTGCTGTGGTCACACAGAAATAAGCAAATGATGAATTGAGTGACGATGAGCTTCCATTGACGAAGCTTTCCTCAAAAGCCAAAGCAAAAAGATAAGCGTCATCAATACAAGCCGACACTCACGCTGAGCCCGATAAAAAGGTTGCTCAAGAATCAATTCTGCGAAAGGACCACAAATCTAAGAAACATCTTAAACCCAAACTAGGTTATGGCATACGGAAGAAAGTCATAGTTGCTCAACCAAGTGATCACTCTAAATCCAGTTCAAGTACTTGGATCGAATTATCCTCACCTGAGCCTACATCTAAGGGGGAAGATTCTTTGGCTCTTACACAAGAACCTGCGACAGCAGAGAAGGCCGAAAGAATGACCCAGCCATTGGAAGATGATCACTTAAGTCTCTCACAAGAACTTGTTCAAACAGCAGAGACGAGAGAAGTGATCACCGCCACTATTCAAAGTGAGCCAGCTAAAAAGATCTCACTCACTGAAGATCAAACTCTTCAAAAAGCCGTCACAGATGACTATCATAGGGTTCTCAGATAGCATGAATGGCGAACCTCGAAACTTGAATCTCTTGTTGAACGGTTTGACAACATGTGGGCAAAAGAACGGTTTGCTTTAAAGTGGCTCGGCACTAAAAATGTGTATGAAGCCACACGACTTGAATTTATACACTGAGTCTACTCATATAAGTTTACCAATAGGAATATTGAGAAAGGGAAAGCTCCAAGCATTGTTCTTGATATCCAAAAACCATCTCTTGATGCAGCTACAGAAGCAGAATTGAAAGAACTTAGAGATGCCATGCAGCTATCTAAAATTAAGGATGAGCTTGATCAGTTACACAGAAATGATCCCGAAGCCAACACGAGTTATGTGCCACAACCTGAACCAATTCCAAACCCTTCAGACATTGATGATAATGACAAGGATGATGAGAATGATCAAGATGACTCAAGACAGAGTAATGATGATGATGATGATGATGACAATGATGATGCCATGATTACTGACCAGAATCTGGGAACAAATGAATCTAACCCGAAAGAATGAGATTCACATCACAACGAATCTTCACATTCAGACAATGCTCAAAAAGATCATTCCTCGAAAGATGTTGTTGACCCAAGTCTGAGATCGGCCAGCGATGGTAATATGGATGCATCACTTGGTGCGAGACATGACGACTCCGGTCACAACGAAATGCATGCACAAGAATATCATGTTCCTTCGGGTGACAGCCTTAGCACGACAGTCATCCTTTCAGCACTAAAGAAGCTAAGTGTTGAGAATAGCACAAATTTTAAGGAGTTGAGGAAAACACTTCGTCATACCAAAAGGGCAAGTGTCGAAACGAAAGATTGTGTTTCCTCTGAAGGAAAAGCGACCCGAGATCAAATATCTGCTCGAGACAATTCGTTTAAGCAAGCCACAATCGATTCTCTAAACTCAACACATTCCATTATGAGTGGCCTTGCCAAATCAATGGAGCATTTGCTTCAAGATATGATTATGCTTCAATCGAATCAACTCAAAATTGAGCAAAGTCAAGAGAAAATTCTCGAGGAACAACACAACATGAAGCACTCCAACTTTTCTCTCAAGGAAAGGGTCGATCTATCCTGTACAAAATCTTATATGGCCTTTGATATCATGATGACTATGGGATCCAACCAGATGCAGACTATGAATGGCATAAGGGACATCAAGATTTTCCTTCAGACTCTTACTCAACCTTTGGCTCCTGATGATGCTAAAAAGGGGGGAAATAGATGACAAAGACGATAGAGACAACGAAAGGAGGGACAAAAGCGATCAAGGAAGAGAAGGAGGCAATTCAAGCAAAACACTTATGTTACCTCCAACCTCAGAACCTCACAGGAACACTCGGTCTCATTCGTCCAACCCTCAAAGAAGCAACCAGAAACAAAGACAGCAAGAGCGACAAAGACTGATGTGTGATCAAAACATTACCTTAGATGCAGAAGGAAATTTCGTTCGCTATGAACCTTACATACATGGAAGTGGGAAACGATTCAAAAGATGCAACATACCCACTTGGGTGAAGAAGAAAGATAACTTGGCTAGACAAGAGTATCAGAGAGACAGAAATGTTGAAATCAAAAAGGAAAATGAAAGACAGTGCCTTGTTGATGAAGAAATAAGGAAGAAAAAGGAACAAGATCTCATCGACTACCAGATCATACAACGAAAGATTAAGGATCTTAAAACCATTGGAAAATATGCCGAATTAGCTCTCAAGCACAATGTTGTTTTCAAGATTCATGATGTGTCCGACAAAAGCTATGTTGAAGGGATGAATTCCATAGAACTGGTCATATGGTGGAACAACGGAATAATTCCTCGCCGAAATATTCTTGAAGCTTACAACAACTACATGAGTTATACACTGACAGAGAAATATGTAGAAATGGCACGAGACAAAGATATTCGAGCATTCAGGAAAATCATAAATGATGATCTCGATCTCAAGAAGATGCTCAAGGATTAGTAAGCCAAAGAAAAAGAGACCCAAAGAGAAGAAGCTAGACAGAAAGAAGAATTACTGAACATGTAATAGATAGATGTTTTCTTTGTAATATGAATCAAATATGAATGAAATCTATCTTTATGCGGGTTATGTTGAGTTCTTATGTTATCTTATTTACTTAGACCTTTCTTGTAAACTCAACTATCTGGCTGTTTTGTAATGAAAATCCTTTCATGGGTAAATTCAACCTAATAGCGAGAGTATAGGTGTTGGCATCATCAAAAAGGGGGAAATTGTTAGGAACATGTGTAATTAGATTTTGATGATATCAAACTAACTAAGAATTTGGACCCCTCTCTTACTCTCGTTGTTTAGTATCTTTCGTGTAGAACGAAAGCTGTCTTTGCTCGGAATATGATTTGTGCTCAATTATACATCTACACGAATCCAAATATTTCTCAGTCAGTCAGACATGTTGAAGAGAAGAGAAGATCAAGAGAAGGTCGAGAGATCCGCTAAGACCGAAACCTGGAAGGGTCTATCTCTTGTGTAATTGACAAATGATAAAGAAAGATCATTTGATTTGTGGAAACAACGAATGATAAGGACAATCTTTCGTTACCAGAACCTGAGACTACGAGTCAAAGTCTGACTCGATTGGACAAGTCTTATATGTTTTTAGAAGCATAATTGTCCAAGTCTCAAAGCTGGGAAAATCATCCTAGACAAATGGTGTCTTAGGAATGATATTTCAAATATCAAGGAGCATTTAATGATTGGTACCTTTTGTCTGCACTACATGACAAAAAGGTTGGTTGTTTTTTGAAGCCAACAGCTACATAGTACAAGCCGCATTTAAGTATCCTTACGTAGCGGACAATACACACTGGTAAATAGGTTTGAAATTTCATCTCCCTCCAACGGATGGATTTGTCACTCCTATAAATACCTCTCTTCATCACTTGAAGAATGTGCTGGTTTTTATCACTCTATAGCTATCAAAAAAGCTTTTAAACTCTCTCAAGCTACAAGTTATTTCAAAACCTGTGTGTGTTTGTGAAGACTCTTTTAAAGATCATCTAGCTTTCAAAGTCTTCACAACATCAAGAAATCTTGCACAGTTTATACGAAGATCAAGCATCATCAAGACAAGATTTCAAGTTGGACATACCATCAATCTTTTCCAACACTCAACTCTATAGAAGTTGATAGAGGCGGAGTAAATTCGGAGGAGTTGGAAAACCTTAGCAAGTTGCTGTCCGGCTTAGTGATCAAGGAAGCAAGTTTGGCTTAGTTTGTACTAGGAGTGATAGTGCAACCCTTTCACGAGTTGTGAAAAAATAGTGAAGTAGGCTTAGTTAACAGCCGAACCACTATAAAAATATCTCTCTCTCTCTCTCTCTCTCTCTCTCTCATTATTTATCTTTACTTAACTGCATTGCATTACATCCATATTCACCGTAGCAAAATGATTTCTAACGAAAGTGTGCAAAGAACATTATAAGGGATACATATTTTTCCGTTGTGCATTACTTTTTCAAGAAAATTTTTTTAAATTCACGTAGAGTCTATTCCCCCCCCCCCCCCCCCCCCCAGACTCTCACCTCATTAAAAACCTCGCTAGAAAAACCTAATGGGAAAAACCTAGACGAGAAAAAGAGTACACGAAGTATGTCAAACCATGTGTTGTCCCGGTTGTCTCATTAAAAACCTTAGCCTAAGAAAACCCAGTGGGGAAAAAAACTTAGCTAAGGAAAAGAGTACAACCATAAGCCTTCCGGGTATAATCTTCAAGATTTCAAGGGTCTTCAGGACTATCCACTCAAGTGCACCAACAGTGCACCAACATCGGTTGCCTCATTAAAAACCTTAAGCTAAGAAAACCCTGTGGGAAAAAAACTTAGCTAAGAGAAAAAGAGTAAATTCTTTATTACGGCCATTAAACTTGTGACTTTTGAGTTAGCCCTTACTTATTACATGATTTATGTTGAGTATGTGAAAGGTTATATGAAACCTTATATAATGGAGTGAAGGCTAATGAAATGATACACACATATTGGTACATATTTGCATATTCCTTCTTCGGGAGGAAAAATACACGGTCAATTCAATCATTCAATATTCATTCCTTCTTCATGAGGAAAAGCACTCAGCCAATAATATTCAAGTCATACAAAGACTTTTGTAATTTAATGATACACATTGGGATTTTCACTTTCCTCATTTCAAAAAGTCTTGAATCCATCGGGGATTTACATATAAATATTAGCGTCTAATGACCAATAAGTTGCGGTCCTGGCGTTCATCAACTGCATATCTAGATTTACAATTCACTGCTAATGATGTTAATTAGCGGAACGTAATGCCATATGTTGTGGAAGAGTACATTTGATTAAGATCAATTCAGGGTCTTTGCATAAACCCTTAAGCTGCTAGTCTCGCTTTATATTATACCACCATATTGTTTGTATTTCTCTTTCATACAAACACTCATTTGTGACCTACAGCGTTAACATTAAATGGTGTACGTGTTATAAAGAGAATACAGTTTTAGCGAGCCGAGTTGTACATGCTTTAATTGCTCTTTTATACATTAAAAAATCAAGACACTACTAGTGCCTAGCTCTGGATTCAGATTCTCATATATTGAGAGCAATTTATAAAGGCAATTTTGTTGTCGACAACTATAACATTTTTCATAAATTTCTCCCATATATATCAATGATTTAAATAATAGACGGAGGTTTATAATCAACATATACATGCCCACAAAGGTACGCTATGGTGGTGATATAGGAAAAAGACTGCACACTGTGAATAAAACGCATATGGGAAATGTTTGGTTTTATTCCATGTACTAGGTGCTAGGGGGAATAATTATGATATGTAGTAGGTCAGATTGTGATAACCACAATAGCATATAAAATTGATGTCCCCAACAAGAAAATATATAATTGCCCAAGGCGACGCACTAGCTCATGCTATACTATAAAATCATTTGGGTCTTTAAAGCCTTTAAAAGCGTATTGCAACATATGAAGTACCCAAAACATATATGCAATCATCTAAGAGTAACATATATAATCAGATATGAAGACATACATATCAAATGATATTATAAGGGTACACAACAATCGTAGGGAAGCTGGAAAGCTTGTCAAATAAAATATATCTTCAAGATCTACCAAAATTCTTATCCTCAACTTTCCATTAGTTTCACTTACTGGTTTGGGAATTGCTTCGTGCAAATTCTCATGATATAATTCACTCCCTCATTTGCTTTGGGCAAACTGACATGATATAATTCACTCCCTCGTTTACTTCGGGCAAACTGACATGATATAATTTACTCCCTTGTTTGCTTCAGGCAAACTGACATGATATAATTTACTTCTACCTTTCAAATAACATTTAAATCAATTACATCATGTATGGCATAAATCAGTTACCATTCTTATATAGGAGTATACCATTTCTTAAATAACACAGAATTGCACTAAGCCATATTCGGAGAGAGATTCAACATTTTGACATCTTAAATTTAGTCAAAAGATGATTATCA